AACACAACCTGATCCTTAGCACTAGGAAGAAGGAGAACTTCCTTAAAGGAAGAAAACATGGGCAGCACATGTGCTCTGCGGGATGCGGCTTTAGGTTCCATCCTCAATATCAAAAACTAAAAGGAAATATAATAATGAAACCGTAAACAGTCTCCTGGAAATCTATAAAGAACCAGCTCACTGTGTAATCTCAGCATTTAGATGCAGGAAGCAGAGGAAATCTCATATCTGGCTCCTCTTTGGATACATAGTGACTTCCCCAGCCAATCAAACTGCATAAAGCTCTGTCTGAAACCAAGAAATCAATGATAAGTAAAGAAAGAATGAAAGAGAGAGAGACAGAGAGAGAGAGAGAGAGAGAGGGAGGGAAGGGAATATACAAGGAAGAAAGAAAGAAAACCTGTGTGTGCAGTGTTTCCATGAAGAAGTCCTTCACCTTCTCCTTAGTCTCAGCTCGCTCCCTAATCCTCTGGGAGATCTCAAAATGATGGCAATTCTCTGAAGTCTCCCTCTAAATGCTAGAGATACAGGAAAGTGCCAGTTTTTTGTTTGATAAAGACATGGAATTCCCTATAACCTAGACTGTCTTTGAAGTAAAAATAGTCCTGCTTCACCCCTCTTCTCCAAAGGCACTACAGGCTTGTGTCACAAAGCCTACCATCTGTAATAGGTCAAGGAGCAGAGCAATGCCAAATAATGATGGTAGAATTAGTTTGATATTATTCAGGGGTGAGTGGGGCTACTGCCTAAAAGAGCAGGTTTATAAAGCCTAAAACAACAATTACAGTATGCCAGGGGCAGAGGCAATAACCATAGCTACATCAGATTATCATAGTTAGCCAAGACCAAGGGCAAGTCAGTTAACAGATTTTTCAGGGAACAAAGTGTTTTTGTTAGGAAAAACAAGTTTCTCAGAATTGCAGAGATAACGGGCTCCATGGAGATACACCTACAGCTGGGTAAGAGAGCCAGTTACCAGGCTACTTGGGAGTTCCCCAGTACTGCAGAAATCATGCACCCCATGAAACAACAGGTGCAGTCTGCATTGGACGTTCTTGCTGTATGGCAGTAGTTAGCATGCATGAACAGGGGGAGGGACTATGGCAGAAGCCCAGGGTAAAGCAAAGGTCGGACAGAAAATAATGAGTCAGGTTTCCCATTTTGGCATCCATGAAGCATTGTGGGAGTCCACTCCTCCAGGTCAATACACAATCCCAGCACTCCTGGAGGAGTGTTGGCAGGAGGATTTGAACTCCTGGCCAGCACCAACTGTCCAATAAATTCCAATAATGGACCATAGGCAACACAATGGCTTAAAACCTAGTAAAGTTCACCCAGTGCTGGAGTTCTTTCTCTCATGTAATTCTTTGCCTGTACTCCCATGTGACATGGAAGTCCTCCTGGTGTCCATTCAGCATCTCTGTTCCAGGTCACATAGCGATTTTAGTTTAAATTGTGTCCTGTTGGATGTTGTTTTATGGTGTAGCCCAACCTAGAATCAAACTTGTATTTCTACTGTATAATTGTCCCAAATACTGAGATTCAGTTAAGAATGACCATTACTGCTCCTTTCTGAGACATGGCTATAGGTGCTGTGGGGCATCATATCAGTCACTATGGTCTTGAATAATCACTGTTTGCTCCAGCTGAGGATTAAGTTGATCAGGGAGCCACACCACAGCCATAGCTTTTAAAGATACCAGGAAGATGCCCATGGAGCTGGAGGTAGCGATTCACTAAATTTGAATCACTGACCAGCCACCTGAAGTCTCTGGAGAAGGTGTGTGCTGACTTGATCAGAGGTCAAAGGAAAAGATGAGAATCCACAAGTGACTGGATTCTGGATTTGCTGATTACTCAGAAGGCTCGACCAAGGTGAGCAAGTCTTAGGTAGTGTGGAGGGGATGCCATGTGGGTGCAGAGAATGGACAACAGGGGTCAGAAGAAGGCTGTCTAAAGGGATAAGAGGCCTCTGATGGCATCATGTGGAAGGACTGTAGAGGTCTGAGCCATTACTAAGCTGTCTGCAGAAGGAGCTTCATGTGTGCAGGAGAACCTAGAAGAGATCCAAGATAAGGAATTGCACTAGTCCCTGCCTCTTGCAGGTAGGAGATGTGGGACCCAGTTATACTGAAGAGGAACAGAATGGCTGGAAGTGAGAGAGGGTTAGAGATGTAGCTGAGACAAATACTCTTTCCTAAGGAGTCGTGTGTCCTGGGTTTAAAAAATGTGAAAATATACAGTTGGATGTGTGGCACATACTTTTAATCCCAGCACGTAGGAGACAGACACAAGTGGATCTCAGTGGGATCCTGTCTCAAAAAAAGAGAAAATTCACGAGATGACAGGGAAAGGAAGAACTGAGATGGGCAATCATAGCCCATGGTGAGCTGGGTCTGGTCATCATCTGAGGCTTCTACCTGTTTGACCCGCAGGAGGTGGAAACTGGAAGTGCTGGATTTGTGCAATGTGTGGCCTGGAGCAGGGCATGAGCACTGGTCTCCACGGTTCCTAAACAAGACACCAACAGTGGAGGCTCATGCAGATTGTGGGATGACCTTGACGATATTGTTCGACTGTTACCTCCAGTGTGAGAGGAACATGGATGAAAGGGAAGAATGCTTCGTCCAGTGGGCCAGGCAGAGAAAGTCTTGGCTGCATCCGTGCTGTCAGAAGCTACAGATTTCTTGCATGCAGTAGACTACAATTTCCTGAGGCTCCTGAGATCATTAGAGCCAGAATGCATACGGGAAGTGGACATGCTCTCGTGCTTGGAAGTGACAACCTTGTACACCTTTGCCCCTGTCCTGGGGCAGATGAGAAACCTTCACAAACTCTTTCTCAAAGGAATTTGTGAGTCAAGGAGGGATGAGTTTGAAGATGAGTACAGAGATCTGGAGATGTGTGTCAACACGTTTTTATCTCAGTTTCCCAAACTCCACAGTCTCCAGCATCTCTATATGAATAATGTGTATTTCCTTGAAGACCATCTGGACCAGGTCCTGAGGTAAGGAAGGATGGAGAGCTGTCTCTGCGGTCCACAGCAATGTCTTTCTTTGTTACGCTGACCATTAAAGGACACCTGTGGTTTCCCAGCCACTGTGGAATTAACATAAATAAAGACATTAGATTATAGAAACACTGTCTTGGTTGTCCTGAGCCCTTCCTGGGTGTCACCCGAGTAAATTCAGTGACACATGGGTCCACTGTCTGGAAAACGTCTCTATGCTGGGGAAGAAGGCATGGGGGAAACATCTTTTGAGTGTGGAAGAACTCACACTGACATTCCCTGGGTGAGCTCTGTGCTCTGATCTGTGTAAACAGGCACCAGTCTGGCTTTAATTCCCTGTGTGTGAAAAGCTGTTTTGAGGACTGAGTAGTTGGGAAATGTGTGACACTGCGGTTACTGATGAGAGGAAGGGATGAAACACTGAACAGAGACAAAGTCTGTGGAGAGCCAGCAGGGTATCAGTGAGACCCACAGTTGACACACAGTGGGACAGTGCTGGATGTCATGGGTTGGTCCTTCTGGGCTTTCCCTGCTGAAGTTTTCTGACCAGCAGGGTGGTTTACTTCTTGACAGTGTGGAAGGGGGACTGTAGAGCTGTGGACTTAGCCAGTCACAAGGCAATGAGGGAACTCTCAGCCTAGAGTGAGATGACTTGAGAGAGCAGACTTTCCATCAGGGAGCTTGCTGGGTTTCACCCCCATCACTTGGTCAGAATGATGTTGAGCCTTATTGGCCTTTCCTACCTTCTCAGAATCTCCCACCTATCACCTGGAAAACCTTCAGGAACTAAACTGCTTTGTCTTTCCCCAGGTACTTGAAAAAGTCTCTGGGGACCCTCGCATTTACTTGATGCAAACTTTTAGCGTCAGATTGGCATTATCTGTATGACTGCCCCAGCATCTGTCAGCTCAAACACCTGAAACTAAGTGGTGCTTGACTTTTTAACTGCCACAGTCATCCCCTCTAGTCTACTAGAAAGACTGACAACCACTCTGCAGACTCTAGAGCTGGAAGTCTATTTTTTTATTTTATGCGACCTCAGTGGCCTCCTACCTGCCTTGAGCCATTGCTCCCAGCTCACCATGGTCAACTTCTGTGGGACTCACCTCTCTGTGTGTGACCTGGAGAACTTGCTGCTACACACACCGCCCATCTGGGCCAGCTGACACTGGATCTGTACTCTCTGCCTTGGGAGTTTTATGGAGAAGGGGGTGATGTTGTCATAGAGAGATCTAACATAGTCTGTACTGAGCTCATGGACACACTGAGGCCTGTGAGGCAGCCCACAACAGTCCACTTTGCGTCCCATTTCTGCCATCAGTGTAGATATGAACGCTTCCTCTATGACCTGGGGATCCGTCTCTGTTGCTGTTTGCAGTAAACAATGAAAGGTTACTTCTGCGCACCAAGGAACGAGGATATCTGTTACATCCCGTGTGCTGCCCTGTGGGACAGTGAGCAAAAAGCTGTCGACCTGAAGCCAGCAACGCAGACCCACTTTCTGTGCATTTAGTGCATTTTTTTCTTCTTCTTGAGTGTTTTTGGAAACGGTCTTGTGAGGTCGCCTGGGATGTCCTGACACTGTTTAAACCAGGCAAGCCTGAAACTTCGGGACACCCTCTGCACCTGCCATGTGTTGAACTGATCAGGCCCAGCCTATTGTTGATTCTTCAGCAGAAGCACATACACTAATGTGTTCAAATGTGAAATGTCCAAATCAAAAGGAAAAAATGGAAAACCGAGAAGCTAATTCATGTGAATGTGCTCATATGTGAATCATAGCAACACTACTTAGAATTTCTCGTAGTTTCATTGAATCCTGTCACTGAATCCTTGTTCCCCCATCTGTCCCATGTCAACCACTTTTAAAACTTATTGTATATTAATAGGAACCAGGAAAGATATAATGAAAACTTGATGAGTGGTCAATAAATTTTGTTTCATTTTTTTTTAATGAGTCTCGGTCAAGCTTTGTCCTATAGAATGGCCTCAACCTTACATTTCTATTAGCTGGGGTATGTGGGACACAACTTTAGTCCCAACACTTGGGAAGCAGAGGCAGGTGATCTCTGTGAGATCAAGGCCAGCCTGGACTACGTAGTGAATTACAGACCATCCAGAGCTATCCTACAAAATAACAAAAAAACAACAAAATAAAACCCTATTTCTCTGCCTCACCATTCTGAGGGATAACAGGCCTAACCACGGCAGCTAACAGTATTTTAGGCTCAATCTTTTTATTATATTTATTTATTTAATGAGTATATGTGAGTGCATGTGTGCCCTGGTGCATGTGTAGACGTCAGAGGACAACTTGGGGGAGTCGACCTCTTTCCACCATGTGGATCCTGGGACGAAACTTGGGTCTTCAGGCTGGGCAGGAAGTGCCTTGACCCACAGTGCCGTCTCACCAGCCCAGTACTTTAGTTTTTGAAATGTTTTTCCTGTGAGAATTGAAATGATCAGAAAATTGGTGTGGGTGTTTTTTGTTTGTGTGTGTGTGAGTCACAGTAATGTAGGCCAAGGTGGCTTTGAACTTGCTATGTAGACAGAGCTGGCCTTGAACTCTTGATGAACTTGCATCAACTTTCAGATTGCTGGAATTACAGGTGTGAACCACCACGCCCAAGAAAATGACCGTTGTTGGCTTTTGTTTATTTTGCTTTTATTCCATTGATGCACTTAAGTATATTACCTGGTTTTCAAGTGCTGAAGCAAACGTGGATTCTGGGTAAACTTGCAAAATGTATTTTATAATTTTTTGTCTTTTTGAGGCAGGGTCCCCCTACATCCCCAGCTGGCCTAGAGCTCTGTGTAGATCAGAATGGCTTGGTTCTGCCTGCCTCTGCCTCCCTAGTACTGGATTAAAGGCATGTGCCACCACACCCAACCACTTTCCAAACTTTAAACTTATCTTGCATCTCTGATAGCTTTTAATCCTTAGCAAAGCTTGTCTTCCTCAGGGTCTGCTGACAGTTACAGGTAAATTCAGAAAAGAAAGGAAGCTCTTTGTTGCCTGTTATCCCAGCACTTGTCAAGTTGAGGCAGGAGGATCAGGAGCTCTGTGTCATCTACAGCTACTGGAGGGATTCAAGGCCAGCCTGGGCTATATGAGACTATCTCAAAAAAAAGTCCCAACCCACTTGGCCTGATGGTCACACCTTTAACCCCAGCACTTGGGAGACAAAGGCAGGCAGATCTTGGTGATTACAAGACCAGCCTGTCTACATAGCAGGTTTCCAGGGCAGACAGTTGCCAGCACTACATAGTGAGACCCTGTCTCAAAAACACAACAGAAGAAAGAAAAATTTCAGTGAGCTCACGAGATGGTTCAGTGGGTGAAGGCGGCTATGGCCAAGCCCAGTGACTGAGCCCAGTGTCCTGGACCCATGTGGTGGAGAACACACTCCAGGGAACTGTCCAGCCTCTCGTGTGATTGATTTTTTCTGTTTTCCTCCCCCAAACCTCCCCTTCTCCCTTTCTTCCTTATGTCTTCTTCTTCTTTGATCATTTCTCTCTCTCCCTCCCTCCCTCCCTCCCTTCCTTCCTTCTTTCATTTCTTTTTGTTTCTTTTATTTTTGTTTTGGGGGTCTTTTGAGACAAGATCTTTCTGTAGTCCCAGCTGGCCTGGAACTCAAGATGTATACCAGACTGGCCTTGAACTCACAGGGATCCGCCTGCCTCTGCCTCCTGAGTGCTGGGATTAAAGGCGTGAGCCACCACGCCTTTAATTTTGACATATTGCTCTATGAACACCCAGCTGGCCTGGAACTTTCAGTATTGACCAGGATGGTATTGTTCTCAAAGAGATCAACCTACTTCTGCTTTTGTGAGTGCTGGGATTAAAGGCAGGCACCAGCGGGTGTAGACCACTGTCTCCAGAAAGATTTCTTCTTAGCCTTTCTTCATTTTATAATCCTTTATGTTTGGTTTTATATTTTGAGACAAACTATCTAGTTTGCATGAAGCTGCTAAATTCCTGGCAGGAAGGACATCCTTCCTGACTCAGTTTCTTGTACATTCAAAGCAAGAACATATTCAAGTTCGTTTTGTTTTGTTTTGTTTTGTTTTGTGTGTGTGTTTGTTTAATATCACTCATTTAAAAATATTTTATTTATTATTTTTATGTTTTGTGTATGCGTGTACTGCCTGGGTGTAGGTAAGTGCACCCGTGTTGTGCAATGCCTGTGGAGGATAGAATAGGCTGTTTAATCCCCTGGAACTGGAGTTTCAGACAGTTGTTAGCTGCCATGTGGGTACTGGGATTTGAGCCTGGGTCTTCTGCAAGAGCAGTCAGTGTTCTTACCTGCTGAGCTATTTCTCCAGCCTGTTTTCTGCATATATATATATATAACTTGCTAGCCCTGATTAGCCTGGAACTCAATCTGCAGACCAGGCTGGATTCCCATTTTTGTCTGGTTTTCTGTCTCAGTCTCCACAGGGTAGGGATTACAGGCCTGCCCACCACATTGAACTTTGTGGGGGGGGGGGGTCTTTTTTTTTTTTTTTTTTTTTTTGTCTCTTTTGAGACAGAATATCCCTATGGACCCAACTAGCCTCCATCTCACAGAGATCTGCCAACCTCTGCTTCCCAAGTGTTGGGATTAAAGGTGTGCTCTACCACATCTGGCTGTTCACGTGGTGTAAGGATCTTTTACCATGAGACATCAGTTGCTGTCTTTTCTAATGTTGGCAGCATCTTAGATCTTCCTCCTCCCGCCTTCAGGACCCTGACAGTCAGTTCTGAGTGAGCTCAAGCTCAGGCCCTCGCTGAGTGAGGCCTCCTCAGAGTCCCTGTATCTGCCCTTCCCAAAACCTACATAATTCCATCAAATGGGATAATGCTGAAATCCACTACAAGTGGGCGGAGACTCGGGAATCCTACCAGATCCTGACTGATGCTAGTGGTACAAAAGGGGTTAAAAAGGCAGAACTGAGTACAAAGACATAGAAGGAGAAAGGAGAGTCAGAGTCCTGGAGCCTGGAGTCACTGCCTGGCCCTACAGTGAGGCAGCCAGCCTGGTCATCACGTCTGGATCTGAGTAAGTCACTCACTCACTCACCCACCCTAGGCCCATAGACACTGTGGCTTCTGTCTCTTCAGATCCAGAGGTCCACACTGTGACTTTGACTCCAAGTGCATCTTTGCCTTCATTCTTCACTTGTGCTTTGAGTCCTAACACTGTTTTGGTTTTGGTTTTGGGTACAGGGTTTCAGTGAGCCCCAGACTGACCTCGAACATGTTGGGTGTCTAAGGCTGGCCTTCAACTCCGGATCCTGCTGCCTCCACTTTGGAAGTGCTGGGATCTCAGGCCTCTGCCATCACCCCTAGACCTATCATGTTTTTTGTCAGAGCTTAACAACAGAGTTGGGGCTGGCCATGGTTGTATAATTTACAATCCCTGGATCAACTGAGGCAGAAGGATGGAGTGTGGAGGCCAGCCTCAGCTACACAGAGAGTCTGGCTCAGTAGCATGAGGGCCTGAAGAAATAGATGAGAGAGATGGACTGGAGATGAAGCTCCGTTCTCAAACTACTAAATGGACTTGACAGTGTGTAGTGGACCCTGGGGCTAGACACACAGCACAGCATAAAACCTGTTGTTGGGATCCAGGCCTATAACACCAACACTCAGGAGGTAGAGGCAGGAAGATCAGAAGTTCAAGGTCATTGTCAGCTATATGGCCTGTTCATGACAAGTGTGGCTTCAGGAGACCCTACCTCTCCACCAAGAACAAACAAAAAACCCTTTCTGTTCAATGTTTTGCATGCTAGTATATTTGTGTTTTTTTTTATATAAAGTTTTATATTCCTTTGTGGTTTGGTTGGCTGGCTGGATTGGTTGGAATTTTTTCTTTACATTTTGATACAGTCTCACTCTTAGCCCAGCCTGGCCTTAAACAATCCAATTTTCCTGTTTCAGCATTCAGAATAGTGGGATAAAGGCAATTAGTTACCTTAAGCAGCTTCCCTTTTCTACTTTGGCTGGGGGAGGGGGTTTATCCTGACTCAATCCAGTGTCTCCAGCATACAAGGAATTTCACCTTTTCATGGAGTCTGGATGGCCCTAGTTATCAGAAATTTCTTCCCCTACAAGAAAGTGGTCACTTCCAGTGTCAAGGCCATCCATGGGGATCTCATCCTGAATAGGCTCCGGGTCAGAGCTCCCATCTGAGCACCATTTCCAGATTCGGTGGAAAAATGTTGCCCTCACAATGGCTGATTAAAATTTTCTGGCTTTCCTTTGTTCCCATAGTACTGGGCATCAAACCCAGGGCACACACATTCTATTCAGTCACATAAAACTGAACTATATCCCTACCCTTCTCCTTCCCTTTAAACTGCTCAGGCCAGTTTCAACTTTCTGTATAGCCCAAACAGGCTTCAAAATGCCAGTGTCCCTTTGTTGGCCTCCTAAGTGCTGGAATTACAGGTGTGTGCTACAATGTCCTGCTTGATATTAGTTCTTTGGTTCTTTTTAAAAATATATAATATTTCCATTTATCTTGTGTGTTATATTGCCTGTATGTTTGTAAGTGCACCCATGCCATGCAATGCACATGGAGGTCAGAAGAGAGCATCAGATCCCATGGAACTGGAGTTAGAGATGGTTGCTAGATGCAATGTGGTCCTCTGCAAGAGCAGCCAGTACTCTTAACCTCTGAGCCATCTCTCCATCCCCTAGTTCTTTGGTGTTTTGAGATAAGGTTTCATTCTGTAGCTCAGGCTGGCTTGGAAGTCTCTATAGAACGTTGACTGGCCTTGATCATGTATCGGGGTTTTGCTTGCAGGTGCATAACTGCACCATGTGCATGCCATGCCTGTGGAGGCCAAAAGAATGGGCAGGATCCCCGGGAGCTATGAGCAGCTGTCATAAATGAGTCCAGGTCCTCTACAGGAGTAGCAATTGTTCTTAACCACTGAACCATCTCTCTAGCTCCTCATTTTACATTTTTCAAAAGCTTTTTCAAATTGCATTTTTATTAATTACATTAACAGACAATATATTTTTGAACCACTCCCCTATCTACACACCTCTTACCAGCCCCACTCAATTTCACTTACTCTGTGATAAAAATACTTTTAAGGCCAATGGAATGAGATTTGGGTCCAGAAATGCACATTAGTATGTGTGTGTGTGTGTGTGTGTGTGTGTGTGTGTGTGTGTGTGTGGGAGAAATTATGCCCACAAATTCCCTTAGTTGTATGTTCATC